TAGGAAGACGAAAGTCAAAAATTCAAGAAAATGGTAGCTAGGCGTTAAGCGCCCTACGATTCTTACCGCATTCTAAAACTAAAATAACGCCATTTGAGGCTCATCATGGAAGAGAATCTAACACAGTTCTCCGAAATCTTACGAAAAACCGTCACTAAAAATTCTCGACTGTGGACTGGGAAAAGCGTAATGATCTAGTATGTCCCTCAAAATCGTAAAGTCCCTCGGGTTTTGGAAGAGCTTGAACTGGTGGAGGAGGACGTAGAGTTGACACACCAAAGCGCACCATCGTGGCTCAAACGGCATAAGACCAGTACTACAGTGGTTATCAACGGACTGGCGTCACGGACCCAAAGGATCCACGGAGGTATAAACGTTTGTGTTCTCAAATCGAAAAACTAGCGGTTCAAATGAAAAAGGATCCTTAATAAGTCGTAGCGGTGCTTCGTTTAGATCAGAACTAGAGGAGAACCAAACGGTACCAAAGGCGGCCCAACGCCCTCGTTCAGCAAGCACCCCAGGCTCAAGTACGAGAGTCCCCGAAAAAGAGACCACATCGACGGCTAAAAGTAGTATACTGCCAACCGGCGTTGAACAGCCAATGCGCAATACGCAGAAGAAGCGGGTGTACACCGGTGTCGAAGGAAGCGAGAAAAAGAAAATGCGATGGGCGATTGATACGAGCAGCGATGACGACAGTGAGGACGACGACGAGAAGGAACGAGCGGGCGAAATAAGCAACGAACAAGCGGGCGCAACGTGCGAAGCGATAATGAAGCAAATCGCGGGCGAAGAGTACAAAAAAGACGAAACTACCGAATCCTCGGGAACTGAACAAGTGGGGCATCAGGAACCGACGGTTTGAGCGAGCAGAAAAAGGGGGAAGCTAAGTGACGCTCTACAAGACAGTGGAAAGGGGTCACCAAGATGGGTGGCATAATGATCAATCGAATTGATAGGAAGTAAAGAGCTCTTCAAGAGAACCCAGGGAGAGGGTCGGTAGTTAAGCCGGAAAACTCAAACCAAAAGTTTTCATTAAACTAAAACTCAAGTTATTTCTTTATGCGGATATATGTACCAGCTGTGTTCTGAGTATAATAAATTTTCAATCTATTGATTTAAAATTTATTGTGGTTTCCTCTATGACATAGGGACTAGTTTTGAATTATGTACAGTCTTCGGTTTCCGTCTGGGGACCTGCTGCTGCTGACCTTCTGATCGCTATTTGTCTGGCGTACACTGAAACAAATGAGTGCAGTTGGTTTAGCAATTTTGATCAATAGAGTTTCCGTTTGAATTTAAATATTTACTCGTCTTACACCTATGACAGTATCATAAAAAAGCCCTTTCACTCAAGAAAAACCGGTGAAATTTTTAATTTAAAGTTTTATTTGTGTGAAAAAGCAAGCGGGTTTATGCGAATTAAAACTCTGAAGAAATCAAAAAGTTTCTGCAAAAAGCTTGTGCAGTATATTACAAAAGCTATTTTAATATATGCCATTATTACCATAACTGTCGAACATGTCCAAATCCTAGGCTTTTTTGTATGTCCTGTCATCGCACCACAGACAAAAATCGACGCAATTTAAAAATATATTTTTTTGGCGTTTAGTCCAAATTTCGGTTGGCTGCTGCCATCCGGTTCTGTCCCTCTTGCACAGTAAACGGCTACTCTTGTTATCAATTATTGTTTTGCGGGGAGCTATTTTTGCATGCTAGTTTTTGAAAAATTTTGTTGATGTAATTACATCGATCTCTCCTTTGAACATCCGATTGAATTGTAGAACTATTATGTTTGAGAGATAGAGGGATGGAGTTAGGGAACTTTAGTTTATATCTGGTCGATTTGTTTGTTTCATTAAATCTATCACTGCAGTTCGCCCAGGGTCTCTAGTGGCAAAAACGACGAAGGCAAACCTCTTCCAGTGATAGTGTCTTCGTGCTGGTGTCGACATTACTCTCTGTATTGCATGCTTTGTCGATGGGAAAACCGAGAAAAATGCCCGTTTTGCGTGGTTATGCGTTAAGCTGCAGATGTTTGGCAGCTTTGGGTTTTTTCCAAAAGCTCTCGGTAATAAGGGTGGTAGAGTAACCCAACATTTGAATATTTGTAAATTTAGTTCGCTACCAAATAGAAATTGAGAGGAATTTGGTATTTGGATGTTGTAGTTTCGAAGTTTTTTGTTTTTTTTTCTCTCAAAATCAAGTGGCACAAACAATCATCGTCATCGGTTTGGTTTAGTGATATATCTTTTTAGAGCTTTTCAGTCGTGATTACATGAAGTGTCGAGATAAACCGGTTTGAAGTTTTTTTGAGACAGTCTTATTTTGAGCGAGTTGGTGAAATGCTATAGACCAGTATCTCTTTTCTCATGCATCGGAAAAACACAGAGATGATGGTTCCTGTACGCCCCGTTGAATGGGCGAAAGAAATTTGTCTAATACCAGCTGAAAAGGCAGGTTTTCAGGCTCACCTCTCCACAGCCGATGTCATTGATAACATTACCCATACAGCAATGGTTAATCTCCAGAAAAAGAAACGAACAGCTTATTGTAGTGATCGATTTCAAAGCTGCGATTAATGAAGTGTAGAGGATTGGCCTCAAAGACCTTGAAGAAAGATGATTAGGTAGCATTGCGCTCAATTGGTTGAAGGCTTGGATTTCGGACCGGCGAGCGCTAATCAGATGGAAAGAAGAGTCGCACCCTTGTCTTCTCCCAAGGCATGCCGCAGGGTAGCCCACTTTCGCCTCTATTATACTGTTTCGCTGCATCCGAACTTTGGCAATCTATATAGGGAAATGCTTCTTCTGTGTTGATCAACCAGTACGCAGATGATCTGACAATACAAGTGGACGATGAAAAAGTTTAAGCTAAAATTACGAGGGGAAATAATAAGTACAAGAAATCTACAATGATACTTGGAGTCGAGATCGACACCCAACTTAGATGCAACACACAAGCCAGTACTGCGAAGAAAAAGTAAAATCAAAGGCTTAAACAGTGCGCTCTCTCAGCAAAAAAAAGGAACTAGGGTTTGAAAGCCAACAACTGTACAAAGGCTACCTTAGGCCTGGTGGCGCTTACGCCTTCGAAACACGGGGAATTTTTTTTACCGTTCACAAACCGAGAGAACGTTGAGATGTGCAACAACGCAGTAGCCAGATGCGTCTATGGGGCCCCAGCAAACTCCCCGGTCAAAACAAACCCGTGCCGAAGCTGAACAAAACAATACTCGAAGAGGGTTTAGATAACGCGGCAAAACTGCTTACAAAATGTTACAGCTTCAAAGACACACATCCACTAAACACTATGGGAAAAGAATCAACGGACAGGCTGAAAGGGAGGTCATATTGGAGATCAACAGCATTGAAGAGACTCCAAGATAGAGTGTATAAGGGAACATAAAGGAAAATGGTAGCCGGCAGAAGGGAGAAAGGAGATATCTGAGCTAGTTAAGCAAGGTTCCAGATAAACATCGATCGCATGAGGCTAAGCAGAATTCCTTTTCTGCGGGACACACTACATAAACAAGAGAAAAGTGAGGAAGGCTCATGTCCACACTGTTAGAACGAAACAAGACACAAAACATGGGCTCAACGAATGCCCCAATTGGGATAAAGAAAGAAATGAGGTATTTGGTTGCCAACCACCGGAGATGATAATTCAAACAGAACCCGATCTAGTTGCCGATTTTATACGTGCTACGGCTACCAAGCCCCCAATGCCCCAATCTGTGACCGCACACATACAGTAGGCCTTATAAAAAGATTTTTCTTTCGTTTTTTGTTATTTATTACTGTTGTCGATTGTACCTGATTCATTATTTTGCTCGAGTGTCCATGTTGTCGATTGTGCCTGATTCGCAGATCTTAATTTGAAAAAAAAAATCTTTTGTGGTTGGAACATTCTGTGCTAATTGCACAGCAACTGTTATCCTTGTTTCTTTTAGCATTTTCATTCACTTAAATGCCTCAAGTTTTGCGAAGCTCCAATTTTGCTTCTGTGTCAGTTTTATAAGTTTTGTCGTATGATCCGGGCATGGAATTTTGAAGTGCAGACTTAACATAGGAGAGCAGAAACCTGAAATTGCTAGCCTTTCAAATGAAGCTGCGTGTCATATGAAACAAATATAGAAACAATTCTTGTATGTTAAGTAACTGTTTGTTTCTTACGCTAAAATGAACCCTCTATCCTGGTTACGTAGCATAACCAATCAGAATCGAGACAAGGAAGGTATGAAATTCATTTCTTCCTTGTCTCGATTCTGATTGGTTAATACAGTGTCTGAATACGCGGTTGTCTAAATACAGACCGCACTCCCTCATACCCATTGAATCAAGATCCAATTGCCCAAATTGATTCAATGTGTGAATTCGAACTAATTGAGGTGTTTGTTTGCATAAACAAAGTTGGCCGAAGAGGGTCGACAGGATAGTTGAAAGTCCAATTGATATTAAGTTTTGAGGCTAAGTCTGAGTTTGAACAAACTATTTGACAACTGCATGATCAAAGCGGAGCTTCTGCTATTCTAGGCGAAATCCGTTTTCTAAATAACTTTCGTCATAAATGAAGCAGTGAATTTAGAGTTGTGTAGCCAATTTCGAACGCTATTTGAGAAATATTTTGTGTTTTGTGCCACATGTAAATGGTGCCGGTGACACATATTCAAGCCATGCAGGAATTTAATTTTGTCCAAGAAAATGAAAGACGGTTTTTTCGCAATCCCTTGCTTTGGTCGAAATATTTTCAGATGAAATTTAAATCTAATTTGGTATTTTACTGTTTTTTTTTCACCGAACTTGTGGTTGCTAGCTGGGGATGATTTTTGTTAACCAGTATTTTGGTGGTCATTTCTGCAACGAAATTTGTCCTTGTTGCAATTGTTGGTAACTTCTTATCTATCGTTTCATCTCATATTTAGAGATATCACGCAAACATTGAGGAAAGCAGGGAGTTAATTGATTCTTTCTAGCAAAAAATAGCAGTCGTTTTCTTAGGAATCATCTCATCAACTGGTGGAATACGAATTGCGTGCTCAGCAGTTTCTCCACCCTGCCTCTTCTGATCACGCCCTCGCTAACTTCCGACCAACTTCCCTTGTTGCTCTTCCGAACAACCCACCTCATAACCAGTCGTCTTCCAGCTCAGACTTGACCTCCCACGAGCACTCGAGGTCATTCGACCCCAATGTGGGCCCACCCGCGTTCGTGGGCAGGAGGGGGCTGTATGGCGGAGCCGAGAGGACGAATACAGCTGGTGTGTATGATAGACCACTGTCTCTATTTGAAGGGCAGAACTTGGCGGACAACGTGAACAGGCTGCAAAGTGGCGCTCCTCTTCAACATTCTGGTTAGCTCGCATTTCTCAAGGAGTGATTGAAGAAGGTTGCACTTCCAAAATCTATTAGTTTAGTAATATCAATTTAAAATAATTGATTCGCGATGATAGACTCATTCTTTGCTACCCCATCGCCATCAACGGTTATATATTACTCGCGCTCTTGGATGCGTAATTTTTAGTTTGGCACCGAATGGAGTAAATATGGATTTAAGTTTTAGAACACTACTAAATAATAAAATATGTCTTACTCAGCAGTTATGCCAATTTTTTAATCGCATGATATGAAATGTTGATTGAGAGCTTGAGAAACTTCATATGATCTTTTGCAAGTGAGTTTGCTTGATCTTGTAAATTGTGTGTGTGCATTAAACATCAAAGCTACTTGATAAAGAAGGTTAAAAAAAGTGTTTATAACTGCAGAATAAATAAATGGCATCTTGATTGAGTTGAGTTCACCTGAGTCAAATGTTTCGAAACAGACTTCGATCAAAGCAGTGACCTCGTGGAAAATGTACTGGACAATTTGCCTGTTTTGAGCGAAGAAGCTGAAGATGAAGATTGTGCTGCTTTAATCACCTGCTGTGATGACGTAACATCTGCTAATGTCATAAGCTGTCACGTAATGATACCCAATGAGTCATCCGCAGTCATTGGCGATATAAATCATAAAGAGGTTTTGGTTGGCTCAGACAGTGAGGATTTATTGGCCGATCAGAAGCCAGAAGAACTTTATAGTGCCGAACTGAGCTCAACTGGTTTGAACCACTGCCATACTGCCTGTTCTATTCTTGAAAATCACATGTTCATCGGTCGAAATGACTCTTGTTTTCCATTTCTTTAATGGTTTCTGTATCTCTTTATAACACTTCATGTACTGCAACGGCAGCCTACCACCTTCTAATTTGATTGAAAGAAATGTCAATATTTCGCATTCCTTAATTTGCAAGAGCAAGTGACTTGCTGAAAGTCTGTCTTGGTGCAGGCTTATGAGCACTTCTGATCAAAACGTTTTTTTTTTGTGGTTAATCTGTCATATCAAATTACAATTTTTCATTCACTAAGAACTTCTGATCAAATATTTTGGTATGGTCTATCTTTGTGTTGAATTGAGCATTCTTTTGAAGAAATTGAAACCTCATCGCAATCGATGCGCATCGAAATCAATCGTCCAGCATGCCTTCTTAAATTAGTATAAAATAGGATCTCACAACAGCAAAATCCAATTTGTACCATCTGAGATTGTAATTGGTCTGGGAAAATTATTTGCGACAGAAAAGACACGGGCGAATGATTTATGATCTAAGTCCGACAAGTAGGAGGCTCTACTGTAGCTCTAGATATCCAAGCATGCGCTTAGCTTAACATAAAATTTATGTAGTGATCACAAAAGGTTCTCCTTTCATGTTCAGATGATGTAAACTGGGAAATAATGAATGGAAAGTGTTTCAATAAATTTGAATGTTACGTTTCTGGTTGAAGTAGTGTATTCGAGAGTAAATAAAATGTACTTTTAACTGATTGACACTCGAAATCAACACTCGAAATTTGCGACTTGATTTGAGACGATTGGATCCATTTTCAGTTTCATTAGAAAAGTTTAATTATTCACATTTACTCTGGATAAACATGGATTGTGGTTTTGCCAATCACTGCACTCAATATCATTGACTTTTTGTCATTGGTTGAAAGATCTGTTTTTCTTTTTATTCAACTATAACTGTTTTCCATAAATTGTTAGTGAAACAGGGGCGGATTTTGTGGCGGTAGGGTAAAATTGAGCTCGTGAGAACAGCTTCTACGTAGATCTAATCGACGTTTGCCTTTTTTGTTAAAACTCATAAAATTTTTTCTTGAACCTGCTAGTTAAAACATCCGATAGTCCAAACATATTAGTTTCCTAATAATATTGCGTTTCAAACTTAAAAAATAGTTCAATAAGCCGGTTTGTATGTTGGTAAACAATTGCGTTCTCTTTCGAGTTTGAAATATGTTGAGAAGAAAAGTTTTGCAAGAAAAATTTTCAATCGGTTATTTGGTGTATTTTGGGACGCGATCGGCCATTTCTTCGAAAACCAAAGTTAAAAAATTACGTTTGTGATTATTTGAAACTTTACACTAGCTAGCACATCTTTCACCTTTTTCCAATCCATTTCGCATAAAAATAATGCTCATTTTGGTGGCTGCATAGTATTGGCAGTTTAAAGACGTAAGTTCTCGGCTTCATGAGTGGCTTTTGTTTCGGCTCTGTAAGATTTAGTAGCAATATTATCGACTTGCATGATCGAGGTCTGTGGTTTGATTCCCGTAGAGGGCTGGGCAACCATATAAAACTCAAGAAAATTTTCTGTGTCGAGAAAAATCTTAGATAGGTCTTTGTGATTTTTTTTGTTCTTTTTTTTAAGGAAAGTCTTTCAAAGATTTTTTTTATGTTCAGGCCACTGAGAGTGGGAAGGAACTTATATTTTATTGTGTTTTTTGTTTCAACTAAAAGAAGGCCAAGGAAAAAGTCTAAAAGTTTGTTTTCGTTCAAATTTGAATTTTTATGGTATGACTTTTTTTTTATCAAACAGCTAAAGCGTAAAAATCACGAACGAAAACATGATCGACTTTTAGTTTCGAAAGTGGATTTTTTTTCTGATTTCCCGGTGGAATATTTAATTTACTTGTTGATCGAGTTTTCTAATTTGGTAAGTTTCATCGAAAAATTGCCAATAATAATTTGTTTTTAAGAGCAATGAACGTTGTGAAGACTCTTATATAGGTCTTGCTGATTTTTTTTGTTTTTTTTTTCAGGAAAAAGTCTTTAAAATATTAATGCACTGAGGTTTTATTGCCTTTTTTGAGTTCAATTGAAATTCATCTGCTGAAAGTGACGTAAATAGCACTCCAAATACAAATATGGAAATGGCGCTAAAAAACGTAAACTATTTCTAGTTTCGAAAGTGGAATATAATTTTTAATTTCCAGCAAAATAAAAACTTTACCCGGTGATCCAGTGTTCTCTTGTTGGGTTAATGTTATCAAAAATTGTTTTAAAAGTTCAAAGAGTTTAAAGGGCATCCATTTTTTTTGAAATTGGAAAGTTCAGATTTTTTCTGTTCAATTGCGTTTTTTTTTTCTGTTTACTTGCGTTCATTAGTCTTTTCCAACCGTCAGTTGGCTGTTTTTGAGCGAGTAATGCGAGCTGGTAGTATTTTGGTAATACATCTTTGGAGAAAACTGTAATTGATAATTCCCAATTTACTAGCGTCTATATTTTTTAATGTTCAAATGTGGTCGGAACTTTAGTGAGAACCGGCTAGGCTACTTGTAAGTTAGTTCAGTGTTGGACAATTTTTCCGTCGTGTGTGTTTCACAATTGGTCAGAAAAAGATGCTGATGCTCTGTTACGTATTGTTCGTTTAATAGGTATAGTTTTTGTAGAGTTCCATTACGTGTAATTTTTCGTTCTGGTCGAGCTCTGATCAGAGCGGCGATCAGTGTTAGGTTTTTGTTACAATACTCATTGTATAATTTTTATGCGTAACGTATAATTTTTTAGCAATTAAGCTAGCAAATTTGCGTATAATTGAACACCAAAATAGTGATCAGCTACCCACAACCTATAATGGTTTTATAGGTTGTGGGTAGCTGATCACTATTTTGGTGTTTATACGCAAATTTGATTAAATTTGCTAGTTAAGTGCTAAAAATTGTACCTTACGCCATAAAAATTATACAGCATGAATATTATAATACGACATGAGACGTCACTGAAAAAGAAGCACATGTTAGGCGAACCGCAAAAGTCGTGTTTTTGCCCTACTTTTTTTCAGTTTTTTGGATCTTTCCACTGGTGAATTTGTTTTTCGAATGCGCTTTCTTGCAACATTCGGATAATTACCTATCGGAAGTTTGACCGGTAGTTTTCCCAATATTCGTCTGGAGAACAGAAAATAAGGTTTTTGAGATGTTGCAGTGGAGCTTGAAAAACCGAGGTTCGAATACATTGTTTTAAGAATTTGCCACCTTGGGAAAACCCCAGATCCGCCTCTGTACTTGAAAAATCTAGATTACCGAGTCGAGTCTATGTAATTGATTTCAAATGTTTTCCTTTTAGGATCTAAAGGTGCTATTCGCAAAAGTTTGGACTTGTTGCCTTCTCGATGGGATCCGAAAAGACGACTATCTTCCAAAGACGAGACGAAACCTTTTTCTCAAGAAGCGAGGAAAAACAGTTCCAGTGACTTGACTGCGGACAGTGGGACGGTGCAAAGAACTCAGAGCTTTATTACACGTAGTGCAAAATGTGAGAAATCTTTTCTAAATTTGATGAAATTATCCTCCTAAAGCTCAGTTGTCATAGGCATGCTCAAGTTAAAAAGGCTGTCTTGTCAATCCTGTATGCTTTGAAGAGCTCAGGGGGTGCTGTGAATAAAGGACATAAAAGTGCACACGATTATTCTACTGCTTCCAAGATTTGACGATGAGTTTGGAAAGCTGTTGTTTTCTTGGCGTGACCGATCCTCACATGAAGTAATGAATCATATGCGTGCACTTTTTCTTAGCTTTCATCGTAAAATCATAAATTTGGCTCTTTAAAAACGCAAAACTCTTTAAAACGCTAAATGAGCAATCTAGAGAAGAAAGAACTAAAGTGCTCAACTTATCATAATTGAGCGTAATTTCAGGGGCGACTAAAAAACTGATGTCCACTGGTAGTTTCACCAAGAATGCTGCAGAAGCTGCGTCAGACACTATTGCTAGCAGTGACTCCAAGGAAACAACGACGAAGCTTACCAATGGAAATGCGGCTGCTATGAATGGATCTGTGATACCGATATTGTTGTCACTCGATCTAGAAACCCCAAAGAAAGTGCAGCCAGGTATGAAAAAGCAAAGGATCAGAATAGTAAACAAAAGTATGATCGCAGTAGGATCAAGTCAATGAACTGAGCTGAGTTAAGAGCGAAGCCTCACTCCGCTTGTTTTTGGCAAAGTAAGTAAGCCCAATATCCAGAATTCAATTTCACTGAGAAAGTTATCGCTTTCACTGAAAAGGTCCTAATTTTTCTAGTATTTTTTATTAGTTAAACTATATTGCTTTTGGCACTTTGAAAGCATCTGCTTTTTTTTGTTCCTCGCTTGTTTTTTTTTTGTTCCTTTTTTTTTGTTCCTTGGATTGTTTTTTTCTGGTTTCCCAGCAGAATAAATAATTAACTTATTGATCGAGTTCTCTAATTTAGTAAGTTTCATTAAAAAATTGCCAATAATAAGTTGTTTTTGAAATTTAAACAGCTTTAAGAGCATATTATTTTCTTCGGAAATTCGAAGGTTGAAAGTTTTTTCAAAAATTACGTCAAGTGATTTTTTTTGTTTCCTTGCGTTCATTAACTCTTTTTAACTGTCCTACTTGATGTGAATGTATCCATAACAGATTTTAAACTTCGCATTTCTATATAAATCTATTATATATTTAAATGCGGGCTTCACTATCTCGCCATGTTTTTGCATGTTTAAGCTAGATCAGATATTGCAATGATTAAGAATTGTTTTTAGTTTTTTCAGTTTGATTTCAGTGTTTATTCCACCGAAATTAAAATAAGCAGCCCAATATTGAGATGCTGTCCGGATTCACCAAGGGGTTGCGAATCTTGCCTCCAATTATGACTGCTCAAATCCTTGTAATATCCGAGATATGACGTTTTATGTGATTTTTTAATTTTTTTCTTCAAAATCTGTAATTCCCAGCCCTGTAGTTGGGCCTTTTCAGAGTTCTCTCAAGGTTTGCGAATCTTGCCTGCAAATATGACTGCGCAAATCGAGATGTGACGTTCTTTGTGTTTTCGAGATGTGACGTTTTTTGTGATTTTTTCAAAATTTTCAGAAAAACTAAATTTATTGTTTTTCAAAATTTGAAATTTCCAACCCTGTAGTTGGGTGCTGTCGTGCTGTCAGGTTACTCTAAAGTGTTGCAAATCTTTACTCAAAATATGACTGTTCAAATTTTTGTAGTTTCCGAGATATGACGTTTTTTGTGATTTTTCTTTAAATTTTGCAGAAAAAATTTAAATATATTTTTTTTTCATTATTTTAAATTCCTAATTTTGTAGTTGAGTGCTGTCAGGGCACTTTCAGGAGTTACAAATCTTGCAACATGCGACTGCTCAAATGCTTTTAGGTTCCGAGATGTGGCGTTTTTTTTTGATTTTTTCAAAATATTCTCCAAAAAATTATCTACAAAGAAATAAGCAAAATTTGAAACTACTAACTTGATGAGGACACAACCTTATTGTCAGCGTATATCCAGGCGTCTCAAATCTTGCCTCTAAATATGAATGCTCAAATCTTTTTAGTTTCTGAGATAAGGCGTTTTTTTATGATTTTTTTTTCAATTTTTGTCGAGAATCATAAGTTTAAAAAATTCACGAAATTTGAAATTCCCAGCCGTATACTAGGGTGCTCTCAGGGGCTCTCAGTGGTTGCAAATCTGGCCTCCAAATTTCTCCAAAGGCCCATTAAGTTATCGAGATGACGCTTTTATGTTTTTCATAATGGTAATTTAAAAAATTAAAAAGTTTGGAATTACCAACCCTGTAATTGGGTGCAGTCAGAATACTCTAAAAGTTTGCAGATCTTGTTTCCGGTATATGCGGTTTTTCATGATTTTTCGAAAAAATTCGAAGCACCGGAGGTGAGTTAAATGCTATTTCCTCTGATTTCCAACAATTCACATTTCGGCATCAGTTTTTCTGGTATAGTTGCCGCAAAATAATAAACTTTTAAAGTAGCTCATTTACGAGTATAACTTTTTTGGTCAAATTTTATCATTGATCAATATTGATTTGAAAATTTTTGATTTTGAACAAAGTTGCGACGCTTAATTTGCCCTTGCGCTAAGCCAGCGTGTTGAAACCGAGTATTAGACTGTTTTCCCGTAAACAACTGTCTTCACAGAATGGACGAAATAGTAATAATTCTAACAACATCATGGTGAGTGTAGTTATAGTGGTTGCATGTTAGGTAAGGTTGCTGGGTGCCTGGTAAGATTCTTTTAAGAAAATTGTTTTTTTTGTGCCGAAAGTTTTCGGTAGAATCTCAGCGCTGGAGGATCGGCTTTAGTTTCGTCGTCTTATTTTCCGAGTGTTTTTCAAATTATTTTCATTGATATTATATGTATTGATTTAATTCGTACATGAAATATGACAAAAGTCTAAATCCACCGCTCAGAGCGTTCTTTTATACGAAATAATTTAATTTTATTTAATGTTTTTTTTTCAGTTCTTGTAACAACTTTGTCTCGAACTTTTGTTGCATTATGTTCGATCAGCTGTGTTCACTGCCTTCTTTTTGGTGCAAATAAGAGTTTGCATCAAGATTTTTGATTTTGTTGAAACCTTGATTTTGTTTTTAACCTTGCGATAAGCAAATTCAATACAATCGGGTACTAGATTTTTTCCCGTATTCATCTTTGTCCTCAGGACTTATCTCTAGTGTACTTCTGACTCATCTCTAGTGGTACCTTCTGAGCATTCCCGGCCCACTTCAAATTCTTAGGTTTCCCGGTCCACTTACTTTCCTGGTATGGCAAAGGTCCTGGTTGTCAACTTGAGTGCTGTCTCTCAATGTTCTTCAATTACTTGTTGTTTTACTTCTGTTTTGCCTAGTTTCGACATGTTGAAATTGTAACGAATTACTTTTTTGTTACTTTGTTGAAAATTTATTTTTTTAAATCATAGTTCAATTACTCGTATGGTTAATCTTTTTTTATCATTATTGGTTCAAATCCATTTAGTTTGAGTTGTTGTTCAGCTATCGTTTTATGTAAGCTTGTTGTTTTTTTTGATGGTAGTTTCTTTTTTTTAAGAATTAAAATTGGCGTTTGTTTTCGGCTTCATAATTTTTCAAAATCATTTGATTATTTTTAGCCAGTGTCTGTTTTGTGGTTTTAGTCTCCCTTAATTTTTTTTTTGTTGAAACAACGAAGAAATGTTAAGATTTTGAATTATTTTGAATTTGCTTTTGAGAACTTTAACTGTCATTTGCAATGATTTTTCAGTGCTTTTTTAGAATCGTTTTGAATTTTTAAAGGTGAGTTTTGTTGTTTTTCATGTCGTTTCAGTTCTTGCAAAATGAAACAAAAGTGTTCAGTGTTTTTTTAATCTTTGTCATTAAACATAAATCTTTTATATATTGAAATGCGGGCTTCACTGTCTCGTCATGTTTAAGCTTTTTCAACGTCTAATTTTTGCACGTTTAAGCTATATCGTATACTGCAATGGTTAAGATTTTTTTCGATTTTCCAGTTTGATTTCAGTGGTTATTCCACCGAGTTTAAAATAAGCAGCCCAATAGTGGGACGCTTTCAGGATTCTCCAAGAGGTTTCGAATTTGGCCTCCAATTAAGAATGCTCAAATCCTTTTAGTGTACGAGATACGACGATTTTTGTGATTTTTTTCAAAAATTTTCAGAAAACACAAATTACAAAAGAATTTACAAAACTTGAAGTTCCCATTGCTGTAATTGGGTGCTGTCAGAGTTTCCTCAAGGATTGCGAATCGTGTCTCCAAATGTGAAGGCTCAAATCATCCCTGTAGTTTTCGAGATATGACGTTTTTGTTAAGATTTTTTCAAAAAAATATCAAAATTTTTTTCTTCAAAATCTCAAATTCTCAACCCTGTAGTTGGGAGCTATCAGAGTTCTCTCAAGGGTTGCGAACCTTGTCTCCATTTATGACTGCTCAAATCCTTGTTGTTTTCGCGATATGACGTTATTTGTGATTTTTTCAAAAAAAAATTTGGAAACTTAAACGAATTTTTTTTCTTCAAAAATTGAAATTCCCAACCTTGTAGTTGATGGGTATCAGATTAATCTCAAGGGTTGCGAACCTTGTCTAATTATGACTGCTCTAATCTTGGTAGTTTTCGAGATATGACGTTTTTTGTGATTTTTTCAAACAAATTTTCAAACTTGAATTTATTTTTTTCTTCAAAATTTGAAATTCTATACGCTGTAGAGGTGCTGTCAGGGTAATATTGGGGTTCCGAATCTTGCCTCCATTTTTTATTTCTCAAATTCTTGTAGTTTTCGAGATATGACGTTTTTTTATGATTTTTTCAAAAAACTTAAGATTTAAAAAAAATTCGAAAACTTTGAAGATCTCAATCCTTTAGTCGGAAACTGTGAGCGTACTCTCAGGAGTTGCAAATCTTGCCTCTGAATATGACTGCTCGAATCTTTGTAGTTTTCGAGATTTGATGTTTTTTAGGATTTTTTTCAAGATTTTTAAAAGAACTTAGATATACATAATTTCACAAAATTTGATGTTCTTACCTCTATAGTGAGGCTCTGTCAGGAGGCTCTGTCAAAATTCCCAGGAGTTTTGAATTTTCTCTCCGATTATAACTGATCAAATCCTTGTAGCTTTTGAGATATGTCGTTTTTTGTGATTTTTTTTTTCAAAAAGTTTTCAGAAATTTGTTAAATTTAATTTTATTTCTTCTGCATTTGAATTTCCCAACCGTTTAGTTTGGGGCTATCAGAATGGTCTCAAGGTCTCAGGTGTTGCCAATCTTGTCTCCAACTCTGACTGCTCAAGTGTTTGTAGTTTTCCAGATATGACGTTTTTTTTGTAGTTCCTAACCCCCTGTAGTTGGGGGCTGTCAGAGTACTCTCAGGGATTGCGAGAGATCTTGCCTCCAATTGTAGCTGCTCAAATCTTTTAGTTGTTTTCGAGATATGACGTTTTTTTTCTGATTTTTTTCAAAAAACTTTTTTTTAGAAAATTTATTTTGAAGTTTCTCAAAATTTAGAATTCTCAACGCTGTAGTTGGCCACTGTAAGAGCTCTCTCAGGAGTTGCAAATCTTGCGTCCAAATGCGACTGCCCAAATAGTTTTAGATTCCGAGATGTGATGTTTCCTAATTGTTCAAAGATTTTAAAGTTTTTCAAAGTACTTAGATATAAAAATAGGTATATCACTATCCAAGGGCAAACTTTAACTTAGTAGTAGCCAATTTTTTTTGTCTGTTCAAAATTTTCCTCTCAATTTTTGTTTTTAATTTCTCTATTTGCGTTTCTTTTTTTTTCTCCCGTATATGACATCAAAACATAGAAGAATGATTCAAGAGAAAAATAGCCCAGACCAGAACAAGCCAAATTGCAGATAGAAGTTATACGATGCAACGGGGCTGATACGTTTTACCCACATTCCAGAAACACCACCCTGTTTATGGAACCGCCTGGCATTTATCGACATGAAGAAAAGAAAAGACACGCGCCGAGCACCTTTTGTTTTATATCACAGATACAAGCAAGGATAGCCAGCAAGGATATTAGACACTCAGAGTAATATAGGCAAATTTGACAAAAACATTGGAAGAAAAATGACTAGAAAAACTAAGAAAACACTAAGAATTTTTTGAAGTTTTTGGTTCTCAAAATGAAGCTAAAAAACTTCAAAACTAGTCTTTTTTATTTTTTTTCCATCAGTGTTACAAATTGTTTCATCGCGTGACCTGTGAAAACTTTAATGCATAGCGGCTTCTTTACAACGTAAGTTGGAGTCAATTAATACGTTGGAGTAACTGTTGCTTGTATAATTTTGAAAAAAAAAAGGTTTTTGCAACAAGTTTGTTATCTGATTTTTCTATCTTTTTTCATGACTTTCGTTTGTTCCTTCGCAAGTGATTCGAAGCTCTGCTTCGCCTCTGTGTCTAATTGCATTTTTTCTATGCGATAACCAAGGATGTTGCAACCGGGTATTAGACTTTGCACCAGTGAACAATTTTTTCGCGGAATGGAAGAAATGGTGTTTCTATTAAATATCATTTCGTCGCATTTTGAGCAGATATTGATTTGTATTGGCTGCATCTGTGACTTGGCTGCTGGCAAAGAGTTTCAATTATCGGTACCAAAAACTTCAGTGGAATATTTGGTCAGCGTTACTTTTGTCGGCTTATTTTTTTAATGCTTTAATTCTATTTATTTTCCTCGATCTTATATGAGAACGATTGAACACTATAAAAATTGTAAAATCTATTGCACTCAAAATTAGAAAAATCAAACATAAAAATTTGGAAATTTTGTTTGGCTGTTTAGTTTGATTGTAAATTTGGTCAAAACTGTGTTAAATTTGATTATGTGACTGGCTGTATCTCTTGCGTCTGTAATTAGGAAGCTTTGATAAATCGGAATCTGGATCTTTTACACCCTGTTTAACGAAGTCACTGAGTTATTTGATCATTTTACTTTAATAGTATATCAAGCTTGAGCTACCAATTTGGCCCGATTAGTTTGGATGTAACGTCTGAGCTTGAGACGACGAAGTTTATGAGTTCGATACTAGCCAGGAGCACGGGAGAAATTTATCGAACTTTTGTTTGTCTGCTTTTTTTTCAGCTTCCTTCCAAATCATGTTTTTTTTTTGTTTGAAACAAGTTTTGCCCCATGGAATACCTTTTTGTCCTGAAAATTTTATTTTTGCGACATCTGATTTTCATTAAATTTGTTTTCTTAATTTTTTTGCTTGAAAGGTTTATTCGGCCATTCGGCAAATGTAATTTCGGCTCATTCATCTTATATTGTGCGATTTCAAGTACAAAAAAACGTTGCATTTTTGTGTTTGAGGAAAGTTAAAGAGTTGCATAACTTAATAGCCCAAAATGTTTTATGTTCATTTTGTTTTCGGCTCAATGATCGTCTACCTAAACTTGGTCGGCGTACGTGGTGCTCGATAAACACTGTGTAATTGTTCGGTTCTTCTCTTTTTGTTATAATTGTCGGCTTATAGTAATTGTGGGCTAGTCTTGATAAATGTTGAACGAAAACTTGACACGTTTTATGGATGACACCCTGTTTAGCCTAGTTTAGATTTTTATCGATTCATTGAATACGCAGCAAAGTCTACGGCATGTTGTTCTGTTTTTACCGGCTCAATTCAGATCAGTTTCATGACTTTTATACGGATTGCCATATTAATTCTTTTAGTTATCGACTTTCTTGTTTTCATCAAAAATTCTAGTCATTTAGCGATGAGCATAAGCTTCATTTTCTAGTATTGTTCATTTTTGAAGAAAACTAGTCGATTATGCCTATTTGTCTCATTTGATTAACTTTTTACAGTTCGTCTAATTACTCCAGGCACAAAAAATGACCTAAATATGAAAAGTTTTTTAATATTAATGTGGTCGGAACTGTAGTGCGTGCAGTAACCGACTATCCTTGTTTTTTAATAGTTACTGTCTATTTTTTAAATAGACCTGATAGCGGCTCAATTGGCCCAAAAGCTAGACGGTGGCGGAGATACAGAAGGAATGAAAGACCCAATAGATCAGCAGAGCAGGAGAGGGAGGAGAGCTAGCTTCCAGTGCTTCGACGACTCCCGATTCATGTCTCTGCCCCGAGTGAACCACTTCAGTCTGTATGACTATGGATACGCGAACCTGGATCCACACTCACTCAAACAAGCCCTGGTCAGTGTTTTGAAGTTTGCAAGCAGCTGCGAACTCCTGCTTTTACTATAGTGAAGGGCAGTGTTGTATAGTATACAGCGAGGATGTTTGGTTTTTGTTAACTGGACTCTTTGGAGTTTTGCTAACGAGTTTAATGATGCAGAATTTGTTTATAACGTATCAGAATATGGTGATGACTGAGGGTGCCGCAGCCTCAGTATCTCGAAGGCGGCTCACCATCCGAGTTAAAGTTGAAAGTTCTTTCATTGAGTTCGTGTTAAATTTTTGGAGGTTGAACCTATCAAGAAGAAATTTTGTGCGTTAACGTAAACAGTGGCGTGCATAGGAATTTTTGGATAGGGAAAGTTGGGTTGAAAGGGGTGTTGAAAATTTTCATGGGGCTTGAAGGTTTTGACCGAAAAATTGCAATTTTCAGCGCGCGGATACCGCTCAAAATATTGTATTTTGGCGCCGAAGGCACTTTAAACTTAAGGGTTGGTCCACCAATTATAAATATCTGAAAATTATACCAAACAGAGGGAACAGTTGCTACTGATTGAATACGATAATTAATCTTGTAAGCCAAAGTTTTGGACCGCTTCGTATAATCGTTAATTGTGGTTTCTGCTATTCCCGGAGGATCTATGAAAAGCTATCCAGCCCGTCTATGTATAGTCAGTTTCTCTTATTTCCCATATTCCAGACTGAGTTAATTGATTGAGTGAAGCTCTTTTTTGCGACTCAAGGGCGTTTTTTGCGTCTAGAACTTTCACGTGCTATAGCTTTTAGCAAATTTATTGAGCAACGTATTGAATTTTTGAAATATAGAATATGCCAAATTGTTGAAGGTATCGGTAATTAGGTTAATTAGTTTTTTAAAAATAGTTTTTACGAGTAGAAATTAGTGAAAAGCTAAAATCTGACTTCGAAATGAGCAGTCTTAGGTTAATTAACTTCGTTCAGATTCGTTGACCGAAAAGGATGTAGCCAAAAATTTTGCATTAGCTATAATTCTGACCTTAAAGCTGAATTTTTTTAGAAATACTTCTTTGACGTTTCGTTTTTGCCTTCTTGTTTGCGTTTTATGTGTTGTATAGGGAGTTGCAAAAAGTTCGGACAGACAGAATTAATTAAAAAGAGCAATCGTACCATTTTGACAGATTTTGGCATGCAATTTTTTTTTCATACAACCTTGAGACACAAAATCGGACTGAAAAATTAGATTTTGCATGCAAAATATTTCCAAAATAGGTCAATTGCTCTTTTTAATTAATTTTGTCTGTCCGAACTTTTTGCTACTAATTATAATGCATGTCAGATTGCTGCTGAATGAAAATTGGTAAGGTCTTGAAGTTGTATTTTAAAAAAACTGACCTCTGAAAAAGGGCATTCGTTTTGGTTTGCTCTTTTGATAGTCAAATGAAGATTTGAAAAATGGTATGTATAGTTAATGCCAAATTGTTGGCAATATCGGTGACATTGAGCAATTTAATCGCTCAAACAGTACAGCATTTTCGATTATAGACTTTGTTGTAAACCGTTTTCACGTGTGGAAAAAAAAACTAAAATCCGACGTCGGAATGAGTTTTTTTAGGTTAATCGACTTCAATTTAGCATTAACTAGAATTTTAACTATTTCCTTGTCTTAAGGTCAATTATTCCAGAATTTTAAGACGGTGTCCGATAAATTTGTTAAAAGCTATACAACTTTTGCTCATGCTGTGGTAGACTTGAAACTAGATTTAGATTTGAGAATATCATTGCCATGGTAGAGGATCAATTACACAATCTGACGATCTTGAAGTGAACGCCTTACCACTGTGCTAAGTGCCTGTAGCTTCTTCTCGAATTGGGAAAGCTTTGGCAGTTCTTGAATTCATGAACACTTTCCAGGAATATGTAGGCTATGTTCTTTTTTGTTCAGGTCTCAAATGACGGCGCACTGAAAGTGGAAGATAACCAAAGAGGCAACCAAGCAAAAGCTAATGGTAAGTTCTTAAATATTGATATTTTCCACAATGAAAATCATTTGGTCTGTCGCCTCTGGCAAGTTTTCGGCGTTGGTATTTTTGATGAAACTGATTGCATTCGAAAGTTGCCAAAGCGAGCCGCTCTTATCATCAGTATAGTTTTAAGTGCGATCGTATTGTAATGACCAAAAGTCTCCTTTCCAGTTCACCTCTAACTGAGTAGTCTTAATGGCTTTGCATCTGCGTAGAAGGATTTAATTGGGACATAGGTAGTCTAGTTGGGAGAGTAATCAATTTAATGAATTATCCAAGTGCTTCGCTTGGCCACTCATTGTCCATCAGATTAGATGCATAATTGTCCGTCGCTTGACATTGCCCGCTCGCCGCTTTTCCTTCCTGTTTCTAAACCAACCAACCAACTAACTGCGCGTCATATCGGGCCAGCTAGCTGTTTGTGCTGATGCCTCCTGCTGGGCTATTTATGCTGATGTTACCTGGAATGAACTGGGCAGAGGATAGAGGCAATAACTAAATGGGAAGTGAACACCGCTGCGGAATCACCACTGGAAAAACGATCCTGCGTTAAAACACGCAAATAACTCTTTGTTTTATGCTTCACAGCTCGGCAGCGGGTGTAGTGTTAGTGTATCTAACCGTTACAATAGCAGCCACCATTATCTGACGTTAATAAGTTTACTTTGAATTACTACTAAAAATACCTCCAAAGAGTTGTCCTATACAGTTGCTCTCATCAACTAGAACATACTATTTTGCAATTTTTAATTTTAAGTCACCACACAAAAGTGGGGTGCTGTCAGTAATGAATCATTTCAATCCATCAACTTGAACACATTTCTTGAAAAATTAATCAGAGTACCATATTGTTATTTTATCAGCTATGGGGTCGAAAATGAAATTGGCAGTGCAATTTAACTTTAATCCAAAATCAATTGTCCTAAAAAACTAATACCCAAACATACCCTTCTTATTTCCCTTTTCACCATCGGTTACATGTCTTATTTCACAACACGGAATATGGGTTTCATTCTCTGGTCTTTTTGCACCCTATTCGGAAAGTAATGTCGCTTCCCATGTCAAACTGTGTTAGCTTCCGTTGCGTCGATGTCCATTGTTTTTATGCTTGTAAAATCTGACCGTGTTTAATATATTCTGGAGTAATCCTTCACAAGTTTATCCTCTTTATATTCGAAGCGTTTGAAAAATGACTTGCTGTATGATGTTTTGGGGTCTATTTGGCACTGTGGATTAACGGAATAATTTAATTTTATTGGCGCGAATTATCACTACGGTGGATTGATATCTCTATTATCCATCAAAAAGTTTTAATTAGAGCAGACATTTATTTCAAAAATGCAATTTGAAAAGATCTATCTGCCTCATATTTCGAACTGATAAATTTAACCAAAAAAGCTTCTCCGACTGTCTCTCATTACGAACAAGAGTTCCATTTTTATCAGTAGAGTATTTGATAAGAAAGGAACTGACGCGCTTTCTCGTCGGTTTATCGAGTGAATCACGTATCAAAATAATTGAAAATAGTGTTCACCGTTAGTGGATGGAGCGAATTGAGAGTATGTTATCACAAGCGGAGTGTTGGGCTCTGAGTGCTTTAGACTCTGCTCAGAGCAGTCTGTCGTCTACTCTAAGTGCCACCACGGCTCTATTCATTGGACGCGATTGCGATGTAGAGACGCCGCCGTTGTTTGAAAGCTGCAATATTACTCAAGCTGATGATGGTAAGACTCCGGCTACTGTTGTCAGCTGCTCGATATAGTTATTACCAATTTTCTAGAGAGGTAACACATTGGTGGTAACATAAGATTCAGTTTTTAACACTAGCGGGGAGTAGTATCATAAAACGAAGATTTAGCTTCCCAGTGTTTTTTTGAAGTCAACAAATTAGGTGATAAAGTGCAATAAATTTCGTGTGTTAAGAACGAGTATTTATTTCGAGCATAAGGGAAAACTGCTTCTAAGCACTTGGCTGTTGTCTCTGGTACAAGTGTCAAAGGGACGAAATCAGGGGCGGATTTGGGGGGAGGGGGTATGTGGACGACCCGCCCTCAGGGATTCCGACCCCCTCACCAATCAAAGGGCCCCCTTTGGTATTACTCAATGACCTTCTTTTTCAGCCAACCAACCCTAAAATTTTTCTTTGGCGCCAATAAATACTAATTTTAAAGGGGGACGTGAGCCGAAAAATTGCAATTTTTCGGAAAATTTTTTCCAAAAAGTGACCAAAAACTGTCTTTTTACTGTTCTAGGATCGCTCGGAAAATCTATTTTGTCGACGTAAAAGAAAAAAATTTGTTTTTAAAATACAACCCTCTCGAGAAAATCCTTGATCCGCCTCTGGATATAATCATATCTTGTAAATGGTGAATACGAATCACGTCGTATAAGAAGAGTACGAATGAGCTATGGCCAACTGTGAGTTTTTTCAACTAGGTGTCATTGCTTCTACAAAATCGGTCATAGGAGATCGATTGTGAAATTATTTTCAAGATCTGATTGTCCTGTTTCGATTACAAAAATTTTATTTACGCTTGACATTTGTTCATGTTAGATTTTTCCAACTTGTCTAACAGAATCACTGTATCAGTTTGCAAATCTGTTCTGTCGTCAACCGATAGACATATTATGAGCACGTCAACATTTTAAATACCCATTCTATTCGAAATTTGTTTTATGTTGCTTGTAAGTTTACCAGATCCGATTTGCTATAATTTCAATTTTTTGGTTTACCCCTGAAAAGCTGATGAACTTATACATGTCTTGGTGATTTTTTAAAGTTTTTTTTATGGGAAGTCTTAAAATTTTTTCGGGCTCAAATTTACTTTTTATGAATTATTACAAAGTTCTGTTCAATTCTTTTTTTAACGAAAGGCAAACCCTACTATCGAACAGCAAAAGTGTAAAGTTCACAAAAACGTGATCGACTTCTAGTTTTGAAAGTGGAATTTAATTTTCTGATTTCCCAGCGGAATAAGAATTTTACCTATTGATCCAGTTTTCTCAAATTAAGTTAATTAAATCAAAAAAGAGCTAATGGTTTTTGTTCAAGAAATTCAAAGAATTTTAATGGCATCCACTTTTTCTTTTACTTTCTTCGAAATTTTTTCACAAAATAGTTTATTTTTCTGTTAGCGTTCATTGACTCATTTCCTACTGTCGTTGGTTATGTTTTCGAAAGTCAGATTTCTTATTTCCTTTTTTTTTCATTAAATTTATTCTAACTGCTCGTTTTGTTCTTATGTTCTTACTTTTATCGGCTTTATAACCATTATTGTTCCGAATTTCGAAGAAAACGGAATATTTATGCTCGATGCGGTTTTTTTATTCAGTCAGTTTTCGCCAATCGAAATATTAGTTTTCGACAAAAAAATTTTATCCCATTGGAGATATTGCCTTCCTCAGTTCAAACGTAAAAAGATGTTTTACCTCCGATTACTTTTTGTTAAGTTCGGGGGGTTTGAAAATTGCCAAATTGGCCATGTTCTGGCCTAAATTATGCGCACTTAGAAGAATTTATTCATATTGCTGAGAGTGTAACGCGAATGATTTATGCGTGGTGAATTATCCCGCACAACAAAATTGTTGCCAATTGATATGAGGCTAGCTAATTAGTCGTATTAATTTCGTTCGACTCAAAATTTTACACTTTGATATTGTCCAAAATTTACAGGTTTTCAATATTTTCTTTTCCCAAAAACTATTCGATATGAAGGATCTTGTTAACTATTCCCACCCCCCTATGGTACCTTGTAACGAGTCTCCCCTCCCCCTGTAAACAAAGAATTGAACAGTTAAGCGTATACGAGTTTTGTACCTTAATAGGGTGGGGGGGATAGTTAACAAGATCCGATATGAATTAAGGGACAGTCGGAACATTCAGGGCTTTGCCATGTAATACGAGCAGTCTTATTATCATTATTTATCATTAGTTTTGTACTAATTTAACTTTCAATGGTTTTAATTGCCATATTTTTCCGAAAACAAGTTTTTCTCAAGACAATTTGCCATACTGTTTGTGTAGTGTCGCATCGAGTTAAAAAATCTGTCAGTGGCAAATAAATAATATTGTCGGATTATTCTTTCCTACTTGCTCAGCCATGGTTACTTTTTTTTGAGCAGCTAGAAATTTCTTCAAAATATCAGTATGAGCCAACAAGTTCTCAGACATAAATAACAGCTCAAAATAACCAGGATGTTTTTAAGTTTCGGTTTTTCAAATTTTCTCGTTCTCAATCAACTTCTTTGATCTGGCTATCTCAAGTATTGTGAAGCTCGACTTCGCTTTTGTTCTAAAATAAGTTGTCTGATTTTTAGCTAATCTTCAATCGGTTTTAGTCGCACAGTAGTGATAGTTTTCCAAAGAATTTTATTATGATCTGACCTTATCTTTCATAAATAAATTCAAACAAAATAAAAGATATCGGATATAGATTTTTATTCCATGACTCAAAAATTGAACTTTGATTGTGATGAACTATTTCTTAAGAAGTTCATGCTCTTTATCTCTTCCAGACTGTTTTTGAAATCAAAAGCATGCAAAGATATTTGATTTTTTTGGTCAAAACATGTGTTGGTCATGTAATTCAAAACCTGGTGTTACTAGGCTGGCCTGATGCTTTCTACATGAACACGGGTGATAATTCGACAACAAACGGAGACATAGCCAAGGGGAAGGAAATTGGAGCGGGAGTGGGCGAACGGAGCTCAATTTTCAACAGTGACGTCACCACGGCTGAGGATGAGTCATCCTCCATTCAGAGCCAGGCATCCATCACGGCAACCATCACATCCGATACCACCACCCCAAAGGGTATTCTAGCACTGAATTTATTGTTGAAACTACAATAAGGATCATATGCAGCTACTAGTAGTAAGCATAGAGTAGTAACTCTAGGTTCCCCTGTGGAACTAGAAATCCTTGTCATCGAACGGTATGTTGCAGCTTCCAAGTTTTATCCCCTCAAACTCAAATTAAGATTTTTTTGCGAGGCTCTGTTGGTTGGTTAATTCTTTCTTTTTTTGTTCCAACCAGGGGCGGATCTAGGTTTTTCTCGAGGGGAGGGTGCGGATTTTCAAAAAATGTTTGAAATTTGGCTTTAGGTCGACCAAATTGATTTTCCGAGTTCTCCCAAAGCACTAAAAAGTCCCTGTTTTGGCCAAAATTTCTGCACCGCAGGCAAAATAAACAGGCCGAAAATGTTTACCTTTCGGCGCGCGTTCTCCCCTAAAAATTAGCATGTATTGGCGCCAAAGGCGCCTTAAGAAAAATTTTAGGGTCCATAAGCCAAAAATGGATATCTCAAAATAGTTGAAAGTATGAGAGAGAAAAAACGATGTCATGATTAGCTTTGGATCATAATTCCCACGTCTACAAACTTCCGTTGGACGTGTTGTACTTTTCGCCCCCGACCAATCTCTGGGTCTTTGCTTTATTTAGGACTTGGTGAAAACCTAATGGTAGCATATGAATAAATACCATTTTTTCTTATGCGCTCTGTATATAAGATGAGTAAAGTGAGTTGCAACTGTCTCTGAAACTGCGAGAACACATTGTTGAATAGGTCCCGCGGAGAACTAGAGTGTGTGTTGTAGGCGTCAAATGTAACGGAGAATATTTTTCTCTAAAAGGAGTGTTTCTCGGTGTGAAACTAGTTGGTTGCCTCTTTCTCGGCCAAAAAAATTGATGTAACTGTATTACTTAATTTAAATGAGTCAACCTTCTACATGTAGTTTCGAAAAATAGAACGGTATTTAATCATGCGCTGTAACCACAATTTGTTCATGTTTTCATCAGTTGATACTGCCGGAAGCTGTTTGATATTTAGGACAATTTTCGCTAGGTATAGCACCATAACCAAACTGTTTTTTGTTAAGGCGCAGAAAACGTGAATTTAGCACTGTCAAAAGATGAAAATGACGGTACCAAACAAGAGGACACAATCAGCAACAACTCAACGCTCATTGACGACGATGAGTTTCAAAATGAAATTTTGCCGCTTGATGACCCAACCACTGTTGTGGGGCCTGGGCAGCTGAACTCGAATGCTCATACATCCTCCTCTATCTTGCCTCCAGCTAGCTGTTGTTCCGCGGAGCAGAGCCAAAATTACAATGTCCAAACTAGCTTGCAGAATGTGGATGTTTTGCCGACATCGAGTATTGAGGGGGCTTCTTCTTCGGACCCTATAATGTCAATGCGGCAGCACCCCCGTCTTCTGATGAGTCAGATTAGCGACCCGTCTGGTTACAGCGGTATGAGGCCAGTTAATTATCCCGACTTACCATTTGGTTTGGCAGCCCAAGGAGCTCAAATTCAGACATCATTTCCAAAACAGGACCATTTTGTGAGGACGGCTCATACTTCCCAAATGCAGTATCCTCATCTTCATTCAAATAGAATGTTTGTAAACCCCAGTGCTTCTTCGCTTCAGAAACCGAAGAAAAACAAACAGAACGCACTGGAATCATCGCCGCAGTTTCCAGTGTCCAGCTTTCTAAGTCCACCCGCAAAGACGAAAAAGTCTAAAAAGCTAACATGGACTGACATACTGTGGAAACCACGAGGAGGCTCATCTAATTCGGAAAAAGATCCAAATGGGACACTCACTAGCGGAAGCGTATCTCAAGGCAAAGCTAAGTTTGCTAATTTGAACCCGTCTGCAGATAAAGTGACATCACGAACTCGTTCTGCCTCAGAGCGGCTGTCGTTTTTCCGAAAGAAGCCCAAAAGTGAGAAGCAGTCTGATGCGCAGCTTTTTCCGAATGGTGTTGAGGATGCTACTTGCGCTAGCTCACAGTGTAACGAACCTTTAAGGTCGGCAAATAATTTGGAGTACATAGCGCCTGTAGCAAGTAGTGGTCTGGAGCGGGTTATTAATCTACCTGGTAGTACTCCTGATGGAAGATCTCAGCCCAGTTACATGAATGTTGATAGTAGATACCAGACGCCTGTTGCAAACATCCCCAAAAATAACCAAAGCTTCGATTCCATAGAAAGTAATTATAATACAGAAAGCATATCAAGTTCCATCTACGCTCCCAATTCGGTCAGTTCTAACAACTCTACCGATTCGGAGACCAGAACTAATAATACTCAGCTTAGTAATTATTTCAATGCCGAAGCTAGAATCCCAGGAACCGAATACTACAATGGAATTCCGCTAGCCATGCGACCTACGGTTCCACTAGACGAAATAGCTGCTGCAGAAGAAAAGAAGCGATTATCGGAGAAAGATGGGAAAGTGAATAATGGGAGTGAACCAACACGTGATCAAACTGAAAATCGGACTAATTTAATCACAAATTTGAGTGCAGAGGAGTTTGTTGAGCGCCATTTAACTGATGAAACAGAACTAGTTTCAGATTCTAGAAACATTGAAGACTGGTCTAGTAATGATAAAACACCGGAAAATGCAACGATAGAAACCAGTCAAATTACCAAAACTGGAGATAAAGATTCCAGTAGTGGCTCGGCTAATACGTCGCTAACATCAGCCAGTAACTCTAGTCTTAGCTCTAGCTCAGGTCTCCCAAAGAAACGTAATAAGATTCACTTCAATGAAATCGTTAGCGCTCATTCGGTGGAGAGTTTGTACGATGATTGCTTAACATACGCGAGCAATGCTAAACAAATGGAGAAAGAGAAGGAGCGTGAAGCGAAAGTAAGAACTGTTATTTCAAACTCGCTGGCTAAGAAACCGATTCGAAGCATCTTGCGTCGAAGTGCTACGTCTCGCAACCCGGACGTCTACGGGAAGCATGGTGTCACGTTACGCCAAAGTAATAGCTTCGACCATGGATACGGTGCACGCACGTCGTATGGCAGTGATTGCTCTAATGGGTCTAATAACTCAAATCCAAGTATTCCGTTCATTGACGAGGAAAAGGGGTCCCAATTGAGTATTTACGAAGACGCAGAATTGCATGGAGGTAACATTGATCCCAGATGGCTCGCAATGCAGAGTTCTCTCGGTCAAGCCACTCGCGCGGAACTAGATGATGAAGACCTGGACCTTATTGATGACGATGAGGATGATGATGATGATGATGATTTTGACGATGACAGTGGCTCGGAAACGGAGGAAGAGGACAATGATTCAGTGGTGTACCATTCGACACCATCGCCTAATAGAATAGTCACTTGCTGAAATGTGATTGCCTGTTGTATATCGAGATTTCTGATTGACTGATAGCAATAGATCGGAAGAGTCAAGTTCATGTCCGTTAAGACTCGTAAACTCCATTAAAACGCCTCAGGTGAAAAAGAAGAACTTATTATAAAATTTCAATTGAAACTCCCTTAGAATAGCTAGCTGTAAATTTCAAAACTTTCGCCATGAAATGGAAATGAATGCAAATTATTTGATTTTTACCAACATCGAGATAACCATTTCAAATATTATAATCATCTTAAAAGATTGACGAATACGTCCTATTTTTCTAATTGGAACACCTTTCAGCGCAGAGTAGTTTTGTATTTTTCTTAAATGAACAATAATCAATTGGGAATTCAATCCATTAATTCAATGTCACTTGTTTCTATAAAGTGCGACTCTATCACCGTGCCTTAAAATCAACCATCTTGGAGCAAAAATAACTATTTACATACATTTTTAATTGCTTTTCACCATTTTGTTCCGATCCATTCACGAAGTGAGAGGAGGAGGGAATTATGGAGTAGGTTATTTTTTTTTCGCCCAAAGACATCTCGTAGTATCATGTGTGGTATCATTTTAAAGCCCTATTAGTCATGATTCGGATTCTAGAAAAATGGAGGTCTCAATTATATCCACTGCAATTTATCTAATGCTGGAAACAACAGAACTTTAAAAAAATCGGTTTATTTAAGACTACTTCAATCATTGTGGGCGGAACATTTTGAGCTAATTACTCTGCAACAGGCTATTCTTGTTTGATGATTAGTTTTGGTTCATTAATAACTGATGGTGTTGTGTTGTGTTGTGTTGATCAAATCAATCTTTATTCCATTATTCATTGCTTTTGATGAAACTAGCTGGCATATCATGGACTAACCTGAAGTCCATGACGGTCATGGTCTTCCTATCACCTGTCGTCTTCTTCAAATCTTTCCTTCTTTTTTCACCATACAAGTCACTATATTTTTAATGGATTCGATTCAACTGTAAATTATCGCTATTATTTCTGTAGTTTATTAATCCAATTATTTAGAAACAGTCTTTCGTTCGTGTATTTCGCCGAAGTTATACAGGACTTGTTAGACTCAGAGAAAACCGGCTGCTGTGCTTCTAGTAATGTGGTATCTGTCCACCCTGTGTTAGACGTTTGAATTGAAACAAGAAATATAAGGTATAATTTGTCCAAGACAATTTAGTTGATATTTCTCCGGGTCTTGATGATTGATTAAGAAGTCAGATCTGCCCTCCTCCCCGCCTCACATGATATCTGTTATTAGTTGGGTTTACTTTTCTGTTGATAATTTTCTGTTTATTAGGATATATTGGCGTCCTCAAAATTAGGATTTATTGGCGCCATAAGGCGCCTTTAGAAAAATTTTAGGGTCGGTCGGCCAAAAATGGATTTATTAAAAAGTCCCAAAGGGGGACCCTTTGGGTCTGCAGGGGGTCGAATCCTTGATAAATCCGCCATGAGGGGGTTAAATCCGCCCCTGATTCGAAAAGTTCATTTTTCTAATTAATCGCGAAAACAGGTGCACTGCTCTAATAATTTGGCATTCGAACAGCAAGTATTTTTTTCGCTTTATTGGCTTTTGATGTTGATAAGACGGTAGGGCAACATGTTGCATTAAAACAATTGAACTAGAACTCCATCTGTCTGTGGTTCGAATCCAGTAGGCGTCAAATTCTTCTGCTAACTGCTCATTTTCGCATATTCAGGCAATTTTTATGGCAATTTTCAAGTGCAGCCTCGTCTGTAGGTGAAATTTTACTTGATGACTCACTTATCAACCATTGTGAATTGGCATTGTTTGTCCAAAATTGAATTGTCCTTTCTAGTACAATCTAGCAGGGTAGGTTAATTTGTTTTTTCAGTAAATGTACAAAATCATTTCGGTAAGTAGAAACTTAATCTACTTAATGGAGAAAAAGAAAGCTCTCTAAAGTTTAAAAAATGAGTTTTATTTTTCATGTTTCCCAGACGAAAAAAAAAGTTTAAAAAATATACTCAGACCTAGCTTTATCTGCATCAGCTCTTCTAGCGGCCTGTGTTATTTTAAGTCTCAATGAACTAATTTGAGATGCTTTCCTAAATCGCTTGTTATTATCTTTTTTTTAAGTTTTTTTTTGGTTGAACAGTGCGAAAAAAATGTAAAAATTTTTCCAAATACCTATTTTAACGCTCGGAACGGCAAAACTTACTTCTTTGACCCACTTTTCACAATTCATGTTAGTTATTGAGAGTAAAGAACATAGTGAAGACTCTTATTTAGGCCTTTGTGAATTTTTTCAGAACTAAGTTCTAAAATGCTCCAATAACTTTTTGAGTTCAATGAAAATTCATCTGCTGAAAATTAGGTAAATAGCGTTCTCCAAATACGAACGCGGAAATGGCGCAAAACAACGTGAACTACTTCTGTTTTCGGAAGTGGAATTAATTTTTAAGATTACTGCGGAAAAACTATCTATTGATCCAGTTTTCTCAATTTGAAAGAGTTTTTTCAGAAAGCACCATTCATAAAGTGCTCCTTAAATTTGAAGAGCTCTGACGGTATATTTTAAATGTGAAGGATGAATATTTTTCGAAACAAAACAAGGCAGTTTTTTTGTTTCCTTGGGTTCATTACTCTTTTCGAACTCGTGAGATGGCTGTTTTTTTATGGTCCTTGTGCTCTCAAATTAGGTAAATTTGTTTTATGAGTCCCTTAATTACTTTTTTTGGTAACGCTGCTTGAAATTATCCAAGCAATTAAAAAATCAAGACATCAACCATCTTGTTTTAGGAAGTGTCAAACAGATTGGTTTAACAAGTAGTGCTCAGGAGTATCACCAGTTTTTAGCATACAGACCTATGGTTTAGCAGAAGCATGGTTTTCAAAAAATAGTAGTTGCAAAATTTCAAACTTCTTTTGGGAGCAAAATGCTTTTTCAAGAACAACTTCGAATCACAGCGCATTGCTACCTTGTGGTTTCCCTTCTAGAACAGCTAACATAATCTATTCCTGGCCGGCCAACGACAACAGCGTTGTTTATGCTCTAAAACATAAAAGCTGTGAATAAACATAAAATGACTGTTGTTCACACTTGATTTGAATGATTGATCGCTTGTAAATTTACCGCGAAAAAATATCGAAATTACTCGAACAAATTAAATACATCTTAAGACCAGTCAGTCTATTGATCACATCGAAGCTATCACGAAGATACATTTTGGTCCATAGCCGACCAGGACACAAGCCAGTATCAAAATAATATTCAGACGAGCACAGCAATCTTGTGTAATTGCAGCATCATAGAAATATCATACAGCAAAGTAGCTCCTTTGTCTCGTAAGCAGCAGTGGCTGGCCTAACGGCGCTTGAAGCAGTGGCTGGCCTAACGGCTCTAATCGATCATGCTGAGTCGGATATATGATGTTCAAGGATTCCCGAGAGTTTGATGTCCTTTAGTTTGACCAGTGACTTCTACATATGAGCTTTAGAAGGCGAGGAGCTGGAGATAAAACTTGACACAAGACCGAACTGTCATCCAGGACGACAAGAAAACTCGCGGCAAGCAATGCAAATCCCACTGCCCTAGGTCGTAATCGAATTACGGCATCCTTTCCAGAAAGCACTAGCCAAGCCTTGAGTGTTGTCAATAAATTACCGTCAATCCCACTACCTGAATTCGACGGGAGCTACGAGCTATGGTTGTCATTAAACGACCAATTTGAGACAGCCGTCTACAACAACGCGAAGCTGTCCAATGTCCAGCAGTTCTTGTACCTCAAGAGATGCGAGAAGGGGTCTGCAGAGCAACACATCCGAAATCTCCCCACCACTAAGGAGAATTTTCGGATTGTGATGGAGGAGAATGTCATACAACTTAAACTTCTGCATTCCACGTTCAATGAGTTCAACCAATCGATGTTAGCCATGGGTTTGAATGTTGAAAACAATGTGTGGCACAATCTCCCGTCATCAGAGATAGATCCAGAGTCACAGAGGACGTGGGAGCTTCATAATTCAGGGTCAGTATGTCTCATTCCAGAGTTTGCTCAAAATTCAGGATAATCGGATTAGATCTTTGGAGAACATCGCGCGCACTGTGTCCAGACCTCAACGAGAAGTCAAAGAACTCCTTCTTGCTGACAAAAGACGAAGTCCACCACAACTTACGAAGTCCATCGTCGAAGCATGCCAGGAGTATCAACACGTCTACAATTGTCAGAAGTTTCGAGTTGCACATGCGCCAGAAAGGAGTGAAATGGTCAAAAAAACTCCGGCTTTGTTTCAACTGCCTATATAATAGTCATGGAGCAGCAGACTGTCCTCAAGTGTCCAGATGAAAGGAGCGCCAGGGAAATCAACCAACAATGCTTCACGCTAGCCAGGGGATCCCAGTTTTGAAGTGTTCCACCCAGACTTTGCTTGACTCACCTCAGGAATCAGAGATCACTTCTGCCAACTGCACGAGGCTCTAACACGAGCCGGTCGAAAGGTCAAACTACGAGCTTTAGTTGACTCTTGTACCAGAGTCGACGCCATTACAGTGAGTGCATCCAGACGTTTGCAGACGCCAACACGAAATTCAAGCAACCGAGTCCTGGGAACGAGTTAGAAGTCACCCATGAAGATGGTGAGCCAAACATGATCATGCTTCTCCCACTCGATGTCAGACTAGAAGTCAAATGTTTAGTTCTGGTCAGCATCACAACCAGTTTGAATCCAGTGACTAAAATTTTCAGCGCCCCTTGTGCATCATTGCGAAACTTCGACTTGGCAAACCCTCAGTTTAGTTAACCATTGGAAATCGAACTTCTGCTTAGCTAGAGTGTCTTCTCGCGGATCATGGGTACTCGCGACGTCCTCAAGGGACTCCTGGTCTTAACCGAAACCGCTATTGGTTGAATCGTCGGAGGAATTGCTAACGTCGGTGATAAATCCTCCTAGTTGCCATCGGACTGGAAAACGAAAGAGGATCATTCGAAAAGTTCTGAGATTTTGCTATACTTTAAAGAGGAAGACGTTTAGAAAGCATTTATGTCAGTTTTCGGTCCTGAAATGCAAGTATTTGCTATCCAAATGCCTTCACTCCTCATATTCAGCAAAAAATTGATTTGTTAATCGTATTTTTTTTTCTGCTAGCAATAATGAAGAAGACGTTTGGAAAGCAGACATGTTCGTTTCGGGACCTGAAACTACATATCTGCGGCCAAACGTCGTCTCCCATTTTTTCAGCGAAGAAACCATCTAGTTATTAGTTGATTTTTTTTTGCTAAACATGATTGGTGAAGACGTTTAGATAGCATCAATGTTTGTTTCAGGGACTGAAATTCACATATCTGCTGTTTTTTAAACGACTGTCTCATTAGGAAAAAAATCAAATACTTGATAAATTGACTTTGTTTCTTGATATGATAAAAAAACGACGTTGGGAAATCAGATATAAGCGTTTCAGGGTTTAAAACGCCTTTGTATGTGTCGCAACTTTTTTCACCATCAGGTTTAGCGAAAAACTCGCTTTAATGACTTATTGATTTTTCACTAAATATGATGAAAAGCGACGCATAGACCCTTTGAGACCATGAAACGCAAATATATGCTTTCCAAACGTACTCTTTTAGCAAAAAATCATATGACACCCAGAGTAATTTTTCGCTAAAGTTTATAGTGGAAGATATTTAGACATAACATAAGTGCGTTTCAGGGCCTGAAACGCTTAGACTCTTTGAGACCATGGAACGCACATATATGCTTTCCAAACGTACTCTTTTAGCAAAAAGTCAAATGACACCCAGAGTAGTTTTTCGCTAAAGTTTATAGTGAAAGACGTTTACACAGAACACATGAGCGTTTCAAGGCCTGAAACGCAAATATCTGCTGTTTAAACGTCATCTCGCAAAAAATCGATTAATTGATATTTTTTTGTTTTTTTTTCCGCTGAAAAGGATACGGCAGGTGTTTAGAAAACAGATATCTGCGTTTCAGCACGTGCAACTACTTATCTGCGGCCAATACTCTCCCATCTTTTTTGAACAAAAAATTCGTTAGTTGATA